AAACATTGATCTGGTTATTTGTTAACGGGAATATGCCATACATAAAGTTTGAGCATTTCACATCAATGTGACTTGGATTAAACAAGGAATGCGAATTCTAGAACAACACTGAACAAATGACTAGAGTGTTTGATCATAAGAGACCTATCAAGCAACATGATAGTTTCTGTGAATGTACTTTATTGCCTACTAGGCTTTAGTGAATCCAGTGTTGGAAATTAGGTAAAATCTGTGTTAGATTACTCAGTTGAAGGGGGCATCTCAGTGTCTTAATTTCCTTTTCTTATTTTTTGAAATGTAAGCAGTTGATGATATCATCATTCACTTGACAAAAGGCCATGCCAGTGTTGATTAAATTATCTCTACCTGTATTCAGCAATGATCACATCTTCTTGATGGTTAAAATTTCCTTCATTTTTCTTTTGCTAAACGTAGTGAAACCTTAACGCAAACACCAGTAAAATTTATGCTTATTGGAGTTTGCTTTGGAATTCCACAGAATGTTGGCGTGAAGCTATTCCAACACATCCTTCTTTGGGTGGAGGAGCAAACATATTGGATAGCTTTTCGATTTCTTATTTTAGGCTTCGAATTGGAGCTCTATTCGGAGAGTGAATACTGCATGGTATATTGGTATATCTATGTTGTCCTAATCAAGCTTGCAGAGAAAACAAATCTCAAGACGGTGGTGAGCAATGGCAGTGGTAAATATGCTAATTTTCTGCAACTTATTTCAATTGCGAGGCAGCTATTCGTAAGGAGGCTTTCGGATTAGTCAATTGTCTGAATTTTCTTATACATTTACATGCACTATGCTGTCCAAAATTATTTTACTGAGTATTTGATGCATCTATGCTTCTGTTGATCAGGTAAACGGAGGGGAAAGAAGAAAAGGGATTCTGTTAAAGATGTGGCACGAGATTACCAGATTCCGCCTTCAGTCTTGTTTCTTCAGTGCCAAATATGTCTTGCTGAAGGGCTTACAATGGTAATTATGCTTTAGTTTCTGAATTATGAGGTGAAGAATGACCACTTCCATTTGAGATGACTGCAGAGATAGGTCCTTTTGTGCCTCTGCTGGTGCTAAGAAATTTTATGTTAGGTATCCAAGTCTTGTTGTTTCAAATCAACCAGGCCATTTTTATACTGTGAATGTCAGGACAGATCCTGTCCATTTGTAGCATAAAATTTTGCTTCAACATTCTCACCTCAAATCCGCAGTTAATGAATCCCATCTTTTCAGATGCTTGCTGCTTTGAGGAATGACTGCATGATGGCACAAAATCCAAGCCCTTTTAATACTGAGCATGAGGTATAGCATTATTATTCCTACTATATTTATTTATTTATATATTTTTCTTAACCTTTGAGTTAACTGATGGTAAATTTCAGTTTTATCCTCTCATATAAGCATGACATGCAAAAAGAGGTCTCCTTGTCTTGCCTGAAATGCATTTTGGGAGCTATTTTAGGAGTCACTGTTTCTGCTTTATGAATTCAAGAGTTTACAAAATGATTTATGTTTTGGATGACATCTCTCCTTTGCGTTCTCACCAGGTTTAACTCTTTTTCTTTTTTAAATTCCTGCAGAGATTTATTCAGCACTTTGAACTCCTACAAAAAGCTTGCATTCCTGATCATGTCTCATTCCCTCTGTTCATGGAATCGACAACCCATGCTCGTTTATCCGTGAGTGAATTTTCTGTTAGCACACACTAGGTGTGATTTTCCATGATACTCTGGTAGGCTTACTGTTATCTCTTCCTTTGCGCAGAACCTAGTTATGTATGATTACTTCAAGGATGCCCAGAGGATCACAAAGGAGGTTAGAGGTAGTTTTTCGAATGACCCAGAAAAATTGGCTGAACTACGAAGGCTAGAGCAAGTAGCCGAGCACAATAGCATTGCCTTAAACGTGATTTCCCGAGCAGGAGCCCTTGACCCGTCACTGAAGGTTTCTTTCGAGTTCAACCACCATCCTTGCTTTGCAACGGCTGTTGTTAAGAGATGTTGAAGGTGCTTTTCACTGATCTCTACCAATTTTGAAAGAGTCCCTGAAAAGCAGAATTCAGAGGCGTAGTCTTTGTAGCATACATAGCACATGTAACAGCGATTTATAAAGGTTTTCGTCAACTATTCATTTCATTAATTTGTAATTGCAATGAATAAAGAATAAAACCACCCTGTTTATGTGAGATTTGGTTCCCTGCCCCTTTTTCTTTTTCTCATTGCTTTTTGTATAAAGCAAAAAGAACGACACGACAAACTTTGAATTTGATGGATGAGTCTGTGTGATAGATAAAGTCTCAGTCCATCATAACATATTTAAATTGGATCCAACAAACACCTTAACAACTTCTCGCCTATTATGCCAAATCTCATTCCACTTTTATCTTCAACTTTTTTACTTGGACCCATCTGTTGTGCTCAGCGTGCATTTTCTTTTGTTTCTTCTTCTATTATACTAGGTTTAGGTTTTATTATTTGGATTGAGTCTTTATTTGAATTGGCAATCAGCCGTCAAAGACCAAACGACACAACTTTGGAGAAGATGGTACGTACATGCAATTTAGATAATACAACAACAACAAAAGTCGTGTATCTAGCAACAGTAGTTGAGGAGAGAGAAACCCACCACCACCACTTCTTCGTTTGGGTTTACAAATCCCTCCATTTTATGGATTTTCAATGCCTATGGAAAATACAAATTAAAAATAATTTTCTCTTCCTAAAAATTCTTAAGGTTCTCTTTTTGACCTTAGTGAATTTGGAATGGGTCTATGTCTATGCACCCCAGGAAACAAAACCTTCCAATTGTCCAGAACGCGGTATTTATTTTTTTTAACTTTTTGTTGGCATTCAGAACATGGTTTTAAAAACTTGTGAAAAATGGTATCTTTCCTTTGGGTCATTCTTTTATTTTGTATCCTTAATTTCTTATTGTTAATTCAGAGTTTGGAGGGTGCGATCGTCTTTTTATAAAGTGGCATTAGGAAATAGGAAGGTGTCATTCATATTCATTCATATGTGGCTGGCAAACGGGTTTGTCCTGCCTTATTTCTCTGATATATTATTAGTGGCAGAATAGAAGTAGCCCAGAATAAAAATCATAAATACGACATAAATGGTTTACTTACCATAATAGCGTGTGTATGAGAAATCTCCTCATCTGTAGTTGATTATACTAAAAATTACATAAAACCCCCAACATTTTGGAGAACAGAAATGCATTATTTAGTTGGTTTGGAGATTGAGATATGAAAATGAATGAATGAATGGAGGCTTGAGGTGTGTCCTTTTGTGTGGGCCTGAAATTAACCTCCCTCAACCAAAGAGAAGAAACTAGAGAGAGAGAGATTGAGAGCGATGTCTAATATGGCCAATGGTTGTTTTCATATGGTATGGCAGTGGCACCGCCTCTGCACCAAACCAACGGCTTCTTAATAAACGTGATGACTTTATGCCATAGTTTTGGTTTCTTTGGGTTCAAAATGGTAAATGTTGTTGGGGACGTAAAGCTAAACAAACTTGTCTGACCGACCACGATGACTCGATGAGCATCAAATTTGGAATCCTGAGTGTAAGAGGACGGGTTCACTCTCTGCCAGCCAACTGACCTAATCAACGTCCGATCGGTCTTTTAAGTTCATGATTGAAATAATAAATTATATAACTAGAAGAGCGAGAGAGTTCAAACTATTTGGCAGCCTGTTTTCTACTGTGAAATAAATACATTTGCAGGAGACACACTTGTCCTGCTCTGACATGGAAAAATGAAAATAAAGATTACGGAATAGAAAGCAAAAGAAAAGAATCATGGGCAATAATGGCTGGAAATTTAATATTTGCATGTGATCTGGATGAAGAAGATGATTGCTAGCTTTAAAGAATGAGAAGTTGTTGCTAATCATGGAAAGGCCCACAATTAAATGATAACTCAAAAGCTTGGGTGTCTATTAGTTGGAGAAATTAGCTATAAGCTAAGCTGGCTGGCTCTAATTGTTTTTCTTGTTTCTAAGCAACATCCCCTTTCTCTTTCTTGGACCAGAATTTATATACCTATTTTCTATTTAGACTATGACTATGAAATACGAGCATGGGATTGGACCGTATAGAATTAGATTAGTCCTAAAGCGCCCTACTGCTTCTGGAAAGTAGATCCACTACCGACGCTTCTGTTTTTCTCAAGTCACATTTACCTTTTTTGAAATAATATTTTTTTTTTAAAATTTTTGGTAGTAGAATTGTTATCAAGCCAATTAAATTTTGTTGTAGTTTTGAGTTTCCCTTCCTGTATATTAGAAATAATTTAAATTATTGTTTATATATAAAAAAAATTCATTGTAACTTGATCATGATTGATTGATAATGAATTATTTGATGAATTAAGAATTACTTTAGGAATTTCCAATTAATTCATTTGCATAGAATTGAAAATTATATAGAATTTTAAAATAACGGAATTTATATTTTCATCATTTTAATTTCTGGCAATTGAAAATTTCAGTATTTGGATTTATGTATGTTGAATTTTGTAAATGACATTATGGAGATTATGAAATAATGCACTTAAGTTGCCCAAAAAGGGAATTGTCAATTTCTTATATTAAATTCCTAACTTTTAGTTAAATTCATAATTATTTTCCATCATCCAAACAAAAGAAAAATGCTTTGGTTTGTAAAGTAGTATTCTCTTGTTAAATAATTAAAGAGTTTAAAAAAATTGCAGATGGAGAGTATCGTAGAGAATTATTGCCCTGTCTTACACAGCCGTATTTTCTGTCTTTCTGACAGATGGGAAAATTCAGTTAATGATTTAAATAATAAGAAATTTAAAATTTTAATTTAAAAGTAATTGTTGAAGACGCCGACGGGCCAACCAAACCGAACTCATTCTGGTCGACTTTTCCTCTGCTATCTCTCAGACTCAGACAACTCTCCCTCCCTACCCCCCCCCCCC